GGGGGGTAAGGGGGTTTGTAGCAGAAAGGGTATTTGTGGTAAAAATTGTGTCTTTAGGTTTGATGAGTTTGAAGACATCTGCCCTTTTTCCATTCTTGATTTCTTTCATATTTTTTGGAGTTTTTCTTCCTATGCATAATTTTTGGTCCAGCTGGGCCATTAGAGAGAGTTTGATGGTGTGGACTCTTCTTGATTTTGTGGGAGGTGGGGTGGGGTGGGGGTGTTTTAGGGGTGGGGGTGTAATTTCTTGTTTCTTGATGCATCTTCTCTCTTAGCTTTCTGTAATAAGATGTAGAAGTCATCATATAGATGTAGGAGAATAGAAGAAAAATCAGGTAATTTATGAGGTGGACTTTTTTGTTGGATTTGAGGGGAGGGGTGGTGAGTGGGGGTGGGGTGGGAGAGGGGGTGGGTGGGCTGTTCACTAGTGATGAGGCCATGGATTTTGCTGAAAAAGAGCATGACATAGAAAGAGAAGATGCTTCTTTTCTCTTTTTCTTCAGATTAATATGGCAGAGTTTATTGCTTGAAGGAAATGACAAGAATGGTCCCTTACTTTTGAGATTTGGTTTAAAATGGTGTCTTTAAGTATTTCTTTATGTAGTTTTGACCCATAGAATTGGTCAAAAGTGAGTGTGTGTGTATATATATATATATGTATGTGACATTTTTATGTGACTTATGTTTTATTTATTAAACTTGCGCTTCATGTATTTTGTTTTAGTTTTGTTTAACATATTGTCTTTAGATTTTAAGATTTGTTTTTAATTACTAGTCGATCGTCAACTCTATTCCGTTACTGGTTGATCAATGCTATGTGCTTGCAAATAACATATAATATGTTACTTTTTCTTGAATGTACCTCGTCAATTCATTCATCAACAAACAAAACAAATGGGTTGAGAGTTGATCCTTAGTGCAACCCCGTCTCGACTAAAAAGTGTGTTGAATTCCTCATAATCTTTAACCAGGTCTTGGCTCTATCGTTCACCTCCTTAATCACTATGATGCATGCCATAAATAAACCTATATACTTCAAGCATCTACTTAAACCTTTCTGTACTTTATTGTATGTTTTTTTTTGTAGATCAGTGAATAGTATAGGTTAATTTTTTTCTTTCTATACTGCTCTAACAATCTCCTTAAAAGATGAAAAACTTTCATTGTGTCGATCCTCTCAAAATGAATTTAAATTATTCTATAAAATTAACACGTTTCTCTCCATCCTTATCTCGATCAATCTCTCTAAAACCTCCGTAGTATGACTTGGTAGTTTGATACCCCCAGATTTATTACAATTTAAAAAAAAAAACATTTAAGGGACTTACTTTAATTTATCTCAAACATCAAGGAGTATTTTTATCATTTTCAATTATTTTGTTGTCTACCTTTGGTAAAACTTGTGATGTTTTCTCTGTGATAGTGATGGGCTTTTTCTATACATTAGCATGTTCTTTTACCATTATACCCTCCTTTTTGTTTTTGAAGTGCTCCTTCTTGACTTTAGTTCAACATTCACCAAATTCTAATATTGGAAAATGGAAACCATGAGTGTGAAGCTTTTCTTTCAACTCTGTCAGCCATTAATATTTGTTGTGTGTCATGTGGTCTCCACCTATTTGAAAGGATAAGGTTAATTTTGGCATTATTTATTTAATTCACTTCTTTAGATGAAGTATAATTAAATACAAGTACTTTATCAAGGGTAAATTAGTCATTTAACATGAAAAACCAATAGAATCGCAAACGAGCTCGATCAGCTCGAGCTATAGTAAATTTCCTTACTTCATTATGGCCTTGCCATTGACCGAGGATCTTAACAAGTTCATTTACTTTAAATTATATCAAGCAATCACCTTTTTCTTTTATAATATATATTTATCTGACACACTTTCTATATATATAAAATATGTAAATAAGCCCTAACACATCCTAATAATAAGATGAATATAAGACATGAGACAATAGTTTACAACAAAATTATAGGCATTTTTCCAATTCATTATAAACTATTGAGACATGTTCTTAATTGCCTATTTATTGTCCCTAATCCAATACACAGGGGTAAATTAGTCATTTTGACATGATGACAAATAGAGTTTAGGATTATATAAATAGAGTCTACTGAATGGGTGATCAGTCCATTCCATACCTAACTTTCTGAAATTGTGTGAAACCATCCACATTTCAAAAGTTCCATACCTTACCCTATATTTAATATGTCGTCACGAATGAATTCATAAAAATTAGAATTAAATATGTTCAATAACAATTATTTTGAAATATTCTTAAATTAATATGCATCAAAAATCGATATGATTCTTAATTCGTATTTCATAACTTAGAAATTTCAAATAAGAAACTCTGTCTTTGAGAAATAAGGAGTATCATTTACTAAATATAGTTTCAAATGGACCTAATAAATTTGGGCACAAAATAGATTCGGGTAGATATAACTTGAAAATATCATAAATCATAAACTAATACATATGAAAAACTGAGATGATTTTGAATTCTCATTTTGTGATCTAAAAAACTCTTAAAAAACAACGTCTATCATCAAAAAAACAATAAATATGATTTCAAAATTAGTCAAATATATACTAAGATCATATATATATCTCTAAACATCATGTCTACTAAAAATCGTCTCTCAATAAAATTCAAGCCCTCTGAAAGTCAATAAATTTAAAATAACTTGAAAAATTAATCAACTCAACTCTCGATATTTAAAATTCGTGCATAATATAGTAAAATTGTTCCTTTTTAACCTAAGAAACTACTAGTCATGTAGTTAATTATATGTCTGTTTACCCACACACTTTAGGCAAAAAAAAGTGATGAATATTTTGTTGAAAGTTTGTTTAACAATATATGTTGTATGCTAAATTGTTTGGCCACTTTACTTGTGAGTTATGAACTTTCCTATTTTTTTTTGTTTGTTCACATTGTGCAAAAAGGTGTTGCCATTAATTGGCTTTTTGGGCATATGCATGTAGGGGCCTGATCTAGAAGTATGTGAAGGTGTTTGCTCCAATTTATTCGGTAAAAAATTAAGTTGTATATATAAGGAGATATATTTTTTATTATTTCTGAATATCTATTGGCTAGGGTAGAAATTGACTTATAATTCTTAAGGTTTAATATTTATCTCGAAATTCTATATTCAAAGATGTAAAATTTATTTTGATTGTTATATAAATTTTATTAGATATTATCGTTAAATTTATTATTACGTATAAATCTCATTATATATTTATCTATTATTTAATAATCATATTTTATTATTACCCTCACCCCTCTTTTTTTATATATATATATTGATTTTTTTTTCAAATTACTGGAATATGATATTATGTAAAGATAAATTATGATATAATCAATCTACATTTTGTATTTATTCAAACAATATATATAGTATGATACAATACGATACACTATAAAACAAAACATTTATCCAAACAAAGTAAAAAAAAGGTTAGAAAACAATCAAAATGAAGAAAAAATATTTTCTTAATAAATAAATAAATTTCTTCCTTAGTTTTTAGTATGTGATAAATAAACTAAAAACTATCATCTCAAAAATATTTTAAGGGGGTGGGGGGAGGTGATTAAGGGGTATGGATCGAAAATAATAAACTTGAAATGTCAGTTAACAAAATTTGTTTAACAATCTTGATAGAAAATTAGTTGCCTTGACAATTCTAGATATATTGGAAATTGAGTTTTCAATACACAAATTTCAAATGAATATGATAATTTGCAAAACTCCCATAATTTTCTTGGGAGCTATAAATTAAAATTGCCTTTTTTTTTATGACTTTCAACTTAAGATTATTGTAATCTTAATAATTTTTTATGAATTTATTTTGGTAATTCTTTTCCAGCCAAAAATGATTGAAAAAGAATAAGTGCTCTTTTAGGTTGAAATAATGGAACTTCATGGCCAGCTCCTCTAATTGTTGCAAATGTAAGTCCATCATACACTTCTGTCCATCCTCCCACCTACAATATAATATGATATTCATGATCAATATTAATTTCGACTCTGATCAGAGCCAAATTTAAAATTTAAAATTTTGTTACGATGACAAAGTTACAAATTTAAAATTATTTAAAGTTTATTTAGTATGACAAAAGTTAACTTAGTGCTTATCATATATGAGTTCAAGATTTATATATAAAAGCATTTTTAATGCTAATTAAATGTAAATGTTTATATTATATAACAAAAGTATTTCTGATGTTAATCAGAAATAATTCAAGATTTTAAATTTATTCCTATAGTTCACAGGGTAAATTTTAACTCCATCACTTATTAAAAGGAAAATTTACATGAATAAATACATTTTAAAAAATAACTACTGATTTTAACGATATTTTTTGTTTATTATTATTTTATAGCAATATTGTGATAAATCTGTAATATGTATTAAAAATGAATTATGTATGCAATATATTTTGAATTATAATTGTTTTTGAAATATATTATGTTTATTTTGTAAAAAATTGTCACATTGTATTATAAGTGTATTAAAATATGTGATAAATGTATTATCCATCATTAAAATTAGTATTATATTTGAATAATAAATTTATCTTTGTAATATATATTAAACTTGTATTATAAGTGAATTAAAAATAATCAAGTGAAAAAGAAAATATTATTGCTATAAATATACATATTTTTTTATTATAGTATATTTATATAATTTCCCTTATTAAAATACTTAAAATAGAGTGTATATTAATTACCTGAGTTCCAGAATACCAAGGATACCATGGAGTTTTAATCTTGAGATTAAGATGGCTTAGAGAGAACCTTGTGGCAGTCACTGGTACCACTGAATCTGTATCCCCACTGCATATAAATTCAAAATATATCTAAAATTTTAATTATTTTATTTTGTGGTAAAAATGTATCGTATCACGATAAACACGAAATTTAGTCTCTAAATAATGTGTTTTATAATTGTATAATTCAATAAATCAACTTCTGAAGATAAATTTGTGATATTATTGGTTGGTCAGTACAATACTAACCACCTCTCTAACAACATTCTTTTTCTCGATATTGACTAAAAATCAATTTTTAACGATCGATAAAAAAAAATTATGTAGCACATTTCTATTTTTAACAAAAAAAAAGAAGGAAGAAACTATATAAATTGATTGGATTTACCTGAACATCCATATTCTAAGACCAGCAGCCATTAGTTTCTTATATATTGGTAGCATTGAATCATCAGAGTCCTTCCAATTCTTTAATAATATATCACTGTTTTCTCAATTAAAAAAAAATGATAAAAATTAATTATTTAAAATCATATAAAGAGATTATAAACAATTTTTTAATAAATATATGCGGAACGATATTGTGTCTAATCTAATAGTAAAAGTTAAAATGTATAATACCGTCTATTAAAAACGACTCATTTTACTAATGGGTGAGATTCTAACACGGAGTTACTAACACTTGGTAAATCAAGAACTGAGATCGATGAGTCTAACTCTACTTTCATGTTAAATAAATGATATTGTGTCTAATCCAACACCAAAAGTTAATTAGCTCATGAGGTGAAATTTTTTCTAATATCGTACAAGAACAATATATGTTGTACTATTGTCGAGCAGGGGCAGATCTACACTTAAGTTATACGGGTTCACAATAAACTTCGACTCATACCCTATATTTACAACAACATAACATGTGTAAATTTCACCTGTGAGATCTAGGGTAACTTTTTCCATGGTTAGAAAGTTGGTTTTTAATAAACTCCGGCCATCAACTAAAAAAAGAAGGTTAATATTAAGTCAAATAGCAAGATATAAAATAAATGAATCAACGAACCGAAAGGAAAATGTAACTACACTATTGCTAATACACATAAATAATTTGTCCAAACCCTAATAAACGTATGAAGTTTGTTTCAGAGAAAAATAAAAAAACTTAAAATTCTGAATCCGTACCTGCAAGCCGTCCACTTGTATGAAATCTTAGTGAGATTAGCATGCATAGCTCTTTGGACATCATGTCTATTAAAATATTCCTCAGCATAATTCTCAGTACATGGATCATAGCCAGATAATTTCCTATGAATAATTGTGTTCTTGAATCTAACATTATTATAATTTGTTTCATTTTGCACAATTTTACAAGATGGTGTATAAATACTATATTGATCAATTTGACCAAATTCATGGTTCACTGCATAACTCACTGATTCATCACATTTTTTTGATGAATTTTCAGATGTAAAATTGCAAAAATTCATTATATTTTTGTATGTTTTGTCTGATATTATTGAGTGACTCCACCAATATATAACAGTCCCAATTCCATCATATTTGTTATCAGTAACAGCATTTCCTACCTGTGTATTATTTATTTCAATCATCATTAGTATGGCCAAAAAAAAAAATTAAAAATTATATTAGTTTTCATTCGATGTCTGATATCATTTTTATGTCTAATGAATCAGAATTCACACTAGAGAGTCCGACTTTGGAGGGGTTATAAGTGTTCATATCAAAAGCAATTCGAATATTCTAAAACCTCTTATTAAAATGTAAGGGGTAATTGCACTTTCTAGTCCCTAGACTATCTATAGAATTTTATTTTGATCCTTGTAATTAATAGTTGGTTAAACACATTTATTTAACCTTCAATTACTTACTAATGAAAAAAAGAAAAAAGAGTAAATTTTTAAATAGTCCATCAAAAAATTGCTCGTTGGAAAGATTTTTAACGCATTTTTATCTGAATTTCCTTAAAGAACGAGCTAATTTTTGATAGGACGTTCGTCGAAAATTAATGTTTTTATTAGTAGGTATTGAAATAAATGGTTTTGATCCTTTTATATGCAAAACATGTGATACTTAGACTATTTATACAAAGTATATTTTACTTGATTATTATGGATTAAAAAAAATATGAATTTAACATGACACATACATAGGTTATTAAATGGTTTGACAACTAATAAATTTGTTAAATTTGTAAGAATTCAATTAGCAATGCCTATTACTTATTATTTGAAGGTTTAAATATGTTTAACCAAAAATTACAAGGACCAAATTTAGAATTTATTAATACGTGAGGGACTAAAAGTGCAAATTTCCCATTTAAATAAAAGATTTTTGAATACAATTAGATGAATTAATTACTTACCATGAATCCTTTAAGATTTATGATTGGATGTGAAAATTTCTTGTTATAATTGTAAATAGCCTGTGCTAATTGAGGAACATAATGCCCTGATAAACACAAAGAAAATGTTTAATAGAAATTAATTAGGGAGAATTAGAGACTAATTTTTTCAAAAAAAATAAATAAATTAAAATACCTGCATAACTCTCTCCAGCAATATAAAAATCTCTATATTTATATTGCGGAAACCTTGACATCCATCTCGTGAGGAATATTAGTGCATCCTGAGCTGTGCCAAGAAATAAATTAATACGTCAATGTAGTTATATTTTAACGTCTAAATATATATCCACCCCTGCTTAAACTAAAAATAGACGTTAGATATACAATATACATGTAATATATATATATATATCAGTTAAAATATTAAATAGTGAATCCTTTTAATGTAAAACCCCTTCTTCATATATAGTGTGAAGTTTTATTTTACACTATCATTATAATTTAAATATAAGTTAAAATAATACTATATATTACATTATTGAAAAAATAAATATCAAGAAATTAAATGTGTATTTTTACCTGTTCTTTTATCCCCAAAATCTTTGAGATCATAGCTTGTATTTGTATAAGAAAAACCAACACCAGCTGGAGATTCCAAGAAAAGTATATTTGCCACTGCATTTATAACATTTTAAAATTTTTTTTTTTATTAAAGTAAAAAAAATTTTTTATAAAAAATATAAAAAAGTTACCTTTATTCCATGAATATTTGTTTAAATAGAGGGAAGAACCAGTTTTATTAATTCTAAATGGACCAATTTCTTCTGATGCCCCATATGCTATTGATGAACAACCTGGACCTGCATAGTGCAAAAATAATTTCAATTTTGAGGTGAAAATTTATCAAAAATATATATATATACACACATATAATCTTTTAATGTATAATATATGTATAACTATTTATATATATACATATAATCTTTTAATGTATAATACATGTATAACTATTTATATATATACATATAATCTTTTAATGTATAATACATGTATAACTATGTATAATCATAGATGGGCTTGTTGCTTTGTTACTAGCATTTGTCTTAATATGTATCATGCATGAATCTATATTATATTAAGTCAGGTTTTACGTATCAAACATTAAATGAAAAATTAATAAAATCAATTGTTAATGCCCCTTTTCCATGTTCTTAATTTATCTGATATATTTTTCTCTCAATTTTTTTTATATTTAAAAATAATTTAATTTTAAATTTTTATTTTATATTTAATGAATTGTTTTATAATAAGACAAATATTTAAAACTGGTTAACTTGCGAGTTCAATTAAAAATCTTTTCTTTCTTTCTTAAATTGATTACTATTTTCAAAGTTTGTTGCATTTAAAAATCTTCTCTAACTTATTATTCACCTACCCATCATTTATTATCTTATATTATAATTATATTATATACTTTTCTCTCACTCTTTTATTTAAAAATAAAAATAAATAAATTTCCAACTATCAAGTATTCACTCACAAGTCACAAGACAATGACCCTTCACTTTTTATTTTTATTTTTAAATAAGTTTTTTAAAAAAAAATAATGATAGGTCACATAAAATTCACCAATGAGATAAATAGTGTAACTATGAACATCATGATGAACATCACTATTTATTTTTAGTAGTTTCTGAATACGCATGCTTATTAATACTCGATGCTTTAAATGGTCACCATATTACATAGTTTTTTTTTGGCTCGGAGATTGATATTTGTATTGTATTCTGATTATTCGAAATTTATTTTGTCGTATTTTATTTTTTGAGTCTAAGTCTTCTGAGTCATATATACAGAAACAAACTTGAGACTTATAATATTTCTCATATAATTTTTTAAATTTTTTATTTGTAATTTAAATATATTTAATTAATATAACAAAATTTGATTTAAAAAAATTAGTCAAAGAAGCAAAATATGACAACTAATATGTGATAGACCGAGTGTGTGTATAGGAAGTTTTAACTTATAAAAATTTTCGACAATAGGTGTTCGATGCAGCACCTTCAATCTGCGTAGTAATTATGTTACTGTTGTGATATATTTTAAATCACAAATTTTAAATATGTTATAGAGATAGCTCTTGTTTCTTATTTTATTTGTGTGAGGTTTATAGTTTTTAGAAAAATTTAAAAATTTCAAATTCACAAAAATTAAATTATTGGATTTTTAAAATTTAACATTGTCTTATATAAATTGAAAAAAACATAAATTGGATGAATCATGAATGCTAGAAAATGGAAAGAAAAGTACAAAAATAGTGAAAAAGGAGTTCTACTTTTGTGTTGAAATTTGGAATGTTGTCCTTTGTTTGTTTGTATGATAATATTGTGGAGATAAAGACTAAAAAGCATAGGCTAAAAATGCAGCTTTTTGTACACATACAAACAAGGAATAAACTTAGAACAAAAAGGAATAAAAAAGAATATGATGAGGTAAATTGGACACAAGGATATCACGAGCACTTATACATGAGGAATATTATTTTTTATTGAACGTCTGATATTTATATTAAATTTTCGATTAATTTTAAATACAAGTCGTGAGATATATTAAAAAAAGAAATGCGTTAAATTAAGATTTTTTTTTCAATCCTAGTCCTAGAGTTTGAAATCTTTTAAAATGATTGATTATGGAGGAAGGTTTTATTTATTTAATGGTAACTATGCAATTTATTTTTATTTTTTTTTAGGCTCATTTTCGACTAATTTTGAAGTCGCATCTGGTAAGATCCAATAAAAAAAAATCTTTTTATCGATTCAAAATAACTGATTTTATCTATCTTATTATTTCAATTAATGATAATTTTATTAGATGGACCAAAAATTAATCGAATATAAAATTATTTTATGTTTAATCGATAATATTTTAAACGAATTGAACAGACTATCAAAACCTTTTAAAATCATATTTAACACCCCTAGATGTATTTGGGAAGGATCTTTTCCTCAAATACATTGTTAAATTAGAGGCAAAATCAAATTAAAATTACATTAATCATATTTTAAAATCGATCAATTCCTAAAATGAGATTGTTTTGATAAAAATTTGAATCAGTTAGATTCTAAAGCAGATATCAAACAAGGAAATATAAATAGAGAAAAAAATATTCTTTTTTAACTTAAAAGCATTAATATTATTTCTTGCTATATAACAATTTCTATCTAACTTATTTTTTAAACAAACGATCCCATGCTTGAACCTTACTATGAGTACATGTATCATGTGTTGTCCTTATAATTAATTTCATTATCATTAAACAACTATTGCTTCGATTTTAATTAAGTTTTGACTAAATATCAATATTTTGCGTGGATAAAATATTAATGGTTTGTTATTAAAAAAAAATCTTTTGTTACAATTAAAATAAAATCAACTCTAACATTCTCTAGCAACTAGACGAATCTAGAATTTATATTTAATGAATTACGATTGAACTAATTCTACTCATAAAATTATAGGCCGAAATAATTTTTCAATTACTTTCACATACATTTTCTTATCAAAAGTATCGAGCTCACTTGAATCAGTTAATTCTATTCTCCCTTCGCTTCGAAATTCACTCCATCAGGTGGTGAAAGTTAGTCAACTGATTTTTTCCTCGTCAGAAAATTATATTATATAGTACTCATACAAGGAGGGGCCCAAACCCTATACCTACTGAACGAAGGTAGAAAAATTGTTTCTGCTATATACTGGTAAATCTTGAACATATTTAACGAAATTTCTTGTTTTTGAAAAGAAAATTGGAGTACTAACCTCCATTGAGCCAAAGAACAAGAGGTTTCTTCTCATGATGAGTTGTAGCTTGTGTTAACCAATAGAACAAAGCTCTTCCATGTCCTTCATTGACGGAAACATAGCCGGAAAACTGCGAAAACGTCACCGGAGGTTGTCCCGGAAGTGTTGTGATCCGATCCATTTCTTGTTCTTTTGTTGTTAGAGCAATAACAACACTAATAATGGTTAGTAGTAGAAATTGGCTCATGAAAAATGAATAATAATTAGCTCTAATTTGGGATGCCATTGCACTTATAATTTCAATATTATGTATATCACCTAAATAAGATAGAGGAGTATATATATACATGAACATATATGGTGCTTACTATAAGTTTCTTGTTTGTTTGTTTTTGTTTTGGTTTATGGGGTTTATGGGGGGGGGGGGTTGTGGAAGTTAATGAGTAAGATATAGATGAGGTAAGAAAAAGTAAAAAAATTGTGACTGTGTCTGGATCAGTTTGTGTGTGATTTGACTTATATATATTTATTGACAAATACTAAATTATAGATGTGATATTATCTGAAATATATGAAATATAGTAGATATGGTGAAGGTAGAAGATCGAATCATGTATAACATATGAACTAAAAATTGTGATCGGTACAAGCAAGCTTGAGTATATTCGCTACTTATAATTTTATAAGGTATTTGCTGTATTATCACACATGCTAATATATGTATCAAGTAACTCTATATATTCATCACTAACTTAAAAAAATAAGACAAAATCGCTTAATCTTTTTGTCTTCGCTAAAACTTTATCTAAAACATTATGATTCTCTCAATTTTAATTTATTAATGTTAATTAGTTTACATAAACATAAGAATTTAACTAATATTCACCAATGATATAAAATAATTAACCAATAAAACTTTTATTTTTATAGTTACTAGTACACTTGCTTATTTTGAAGATTGCAAATCATTTCTCTCTCCATATAAGGTAAACTTTTATAATTATAATAATAGGGTGTTTTGAAGGGGTGAGATGAAATGTAATGATGGGGGTGGTGGGGTGTGTGACTTTAGCACTAATGTTATATAACATTAATAAAGTAGTTGTAGTCTTGTTAGAAAATGTGGACCTTGAACTTGTTTCAGACATTAATAATACTTTCTCCGTTCTATTTTACGTGATATTTTTCATTTTTCGAGAATCAAACGATTTAATTTTGATCAAATATTTATATATGGAATTTTTAAATTTTTTTAAATGAAATTTATATATTTGTAAACTACGTAAATAATACTATAAGTCACAATAATTAATAATTCAAAATGTTAAAAGGATCTACGAAAAAATTACGATTAAAAAACACTTGTTTAAATCTCGAAATGCAAAAAGTATCACATAAAATTAGTCGAATGAAGTATCACTTTTGAGTATTAAAGATGTGTAATAATTAAAATGTATAACTGACTTTTCGACATAAACTTTAAAAACTCGTTGTATATTGCCTTTTAAATATTAAAAGTTGGGACCTTTTTTTTTTGTCCCTCTCCCTTTCTCCATCTTTTTCTTTTTTAAAATAAAAAAAAGGGAATTTCCTTTTATGAAGTTGTTAAATTAGGGATGGCAAAATAGACTTGAAAATAAAACAGAATCAAAATTTGAAACTTATAACTTGTTTTAATTACTTAATTTGTAACTATCATAAATTTTATAAAATAAAAATTATTAAATTCATTTGAGCTAATACTTATACTTTAAATTCGTCTCTACGTAACAATAAATGGATGAAAGCATTCAAGAATATGCTTCTAGAAATATCTTGGTAACAACTACAAAAAGATATATAAATATATTTTTAAAATATTATAATTTCATAAAAAAATTATAATTTAAAAAATTTAAATTTTAAATTCGAATATATTCAACTTACCATCCACATGCATCTCTAGCTTTATTAGAAATATGTGGTCCAATTAAGTAGGAAAAGAGAAGGGCAATAGGTTAAAAGAGAAGAATTAATAGAAAGGTGTGTGGGGTTTTAGATTATATATTCTATAAATAATTATATAGTACAAGAGAAAAAAGTTGTGCATATAGTCCAACTGACAAAGATTGCATTTTTATATATTTTATAAACAAATAAATTATAAATATAACAATAAAAAAAAACATTATAACTTTTGCTATTCTTGATAATTGAAAAAACCATGAAGATTTTCATCATTATTACCTATTACTTATGGTACATGTAGATTTTTTATTTGTATTTATCTATAACACATGTCCAAATCATAAAAATAATGACAAATTAGCAAAGGTATTTGATTAGACAAACTGAATAAAAAATTATGGTAGTCAAAGTTTCTATTCATGAATATAACTATTGTCTAGTATAATATACATAATATTATCTTTTTTTAATGTTTAAGGAGAGGGGGGGAAGGAGTAGAATTTATTTAACCATCAACGAATATGATGAGGTAAAAATTATCGATAAGAAAATTTTTAATCAATAATACCTATCGAATTGAAATATGATACGTCAGAAAGAAATTTTTAATAAATTAATGATTGTGAATGAAGAAACATATGTAAAAAGTGTTCAATTAAATAGGTTATACACGATGACTTTAATTTGAATTAGTGGAGCTTCCATGTATGTTGATTGATTTCAAGTTTATATAACGCGTATAAATTCTGATCGAATTTGATTTGATGATTTAGTGAGTATCGAATATCAAATAATTGTAATTTAAAAAACATAGAGTTTATGAGTGGATTATCAACCCTATCTAATCATTCCCTTTTGGTTTAATCTATCATCATGTGAATTTTATAGATTTTAATATTGTGTTTGTCAAATATTGAAGTGGGTAAAATCATTTAATTACTCATTGCTAAATTATCCATGTGATGTGTCATTAATTAATTAATACCATGATAACATTATTATTATATTTTTCCTTTTTAGTTTTATTTATTTATTTCTCAATTGTTACAAAAAATGATGTTATCTAGATATTTGGCCACCCTCAGTTTTGTCTTAAGTTGTGTTCTATTCAGTAGCCCAATATGGTTGCCCAATAATTGTGTTTTAAATTACTAATATTTTTTTAATTAATTTGATCAATTTTTAAAAATATAAATACAGAGTTCAAAAATTAAAGTTACTGAATTCGGTCAAACCCGTAAACTATTTTCTAATTCCATCTATGATTTTATGTGAAGTGTATATACGATCATTATAAGTTTCTTCTTTTGTAAGACTCAAAATAACTAGTTACTCATAAGAACTTGTACACGATAACAAAACTAAATAATTGTTCATATTTATCAAGTAATAATGTAAAAAAACTAAAAAAATAAAAATAATTACCATCTCTAATTCATTTGTTTGCTATATATCTTAATTTATATTTTTATAGTAATAGATAAAATTACTAAATTTGGTAAGTAAAGCACAATTATTGGCTTGATTTTATGTGAATACTATAAAATGAGTTTATAATTAAGTTTATTTGGTCAAATATAAATATGATAAGAAACAAATTAAATATAACTATATTTTGTCAAAAATTATAAAGGGCGTATACAGCTTGCATTTTTCTATATCATTTTTCGTAGTATACCTAACAAATCGAAAAATATAATCGTAACACCACACTTTTTTTTATATGTTTGTTGGCTTTAGGGGGGTATCAAAGGACAATAATTAAAATTATTATTAGTTTGGTACATTTGAATAGGATTTATCAATTCCATATAGTGTTAAATGCATGTCGTTGATAAATTGTATAACTTTTACCACTTGTATATGTCCTACAAATGTGCATTAATCTTTCATAGGTCTCACAACCCTAAGCTTGTCTCCTATCGTCGATCGGTAGCAGAATCAAAAATTTTATTTCAAAGTTACGGAATTTAAATATGTAATTTTGAAGTCATTTGTCAACCTCATTAGTACTATTATATGCTAAT